CAGAGATAGTCCCCCCTCAGACTCTCCCCCCTGCTGCGGCCACCCCTACACATAGTGCAGCGCCTCAGAGGGTGAGCCGGGTTGCCATTGGACCTGCAAGTCCACCCCAGAGGGGCCCCAGGAGAACGCCAAACACCGTCCACCCAGGAAGGAGAGCGCAGCATACAGCCAGCACCATTCCCGGTAGCAGAGGAGTGGCCCAGCCAAGGCAGCCCTGGCTGGCGGAGCGGAGCACACGGCGGCCACTAGGCCTGTGCTGTGTGACCGCATGGGACTGGTCCCGGCCAGGCCACGCCACAGAGACACAGTGGGCTAGCCTCGCCGAGCGGGCGGGTAGGTGAGAGGCAACGGCTACAGCGTCTCTTTGGGGTGAAAGCATTCTAGAGCGGAATGTGGCGACGGACGCACAACCCTGAGAACCCCAGGCTGCTGCCCTGCACCCAGGCCCCGGGACCAGCTGAGCTGTGTCTCAGAAAGCTGCGCGCATCCTGAGACGCTGGGCGGGGGGCAGAGCTGCCCAGCCCCCAGGCTGGACACCCCCGCCTCCATCCTCCCTATGGTCTGGAGCTGTGCGCCAGTCACGATCACATCACGGGGGAGAAATCTCGGCCTCTCTTCCTGGTGACTTAGTGGCGGGTTCCTGGGACAGCCCCAAGTATTCTTTCCGCATGCAAACCCATCTGGACTTTGATCTGAGAGCTCAACTCCTGACTCCTGCCCTTCCTTGTTCTCTTTGCTGGGGGGGAGGGGCTCTCTCTCCCTCCCTCCCTCTCTCCCTCCCTCCCTCTCTCCCTCCCTCTGTCTTCCCATTGGAGAGGCAGCCGGGTGGGGCTGGCAGATGCCCACCGCAGGTGATTGGGTGTGGGGGAGGAAGCAGCGGGCAGGGCTCCTGTCAGTCCAGGACAGGGCTGTAAATAGAGCCCAGGGATCAGCGGTGCTGGTGCAGCTTGGCCTCCTCTGCTCCCTGCCCTTCCCCCACCTCTGGCCTCTCCCTCTCTCCGTCTCCCCTCCCCCCATCTGTGCCTGGCTTCTCTCTTATTTCTCCGTGGCTCTTTCTATTCCTGTGTATCCTTCTCTGTTTTAATTTCCTCAAGGTTGGGAAACAGGGACTCGGCAAACACAAAGCTTTAACTCCGATGGAGAGCTTGGCTCCCCTGTGGCTGGGACTGGCTGCCCGTCCTGCCGTCCAACAGGGCCGCCTTGGCCAGTGCCCAGACCCATGCGTGATTTCAGTCATTTCAGCTCTAACGGGACGCAAGCTGAACGCAGCGGGAATGGCCAGCAAAACAGCCTGCACTCTACGAGGCTGCACAAAGCCTGGGTCGGCTCCAGTCGTCCCAGACGGAACTCTGGAGGATGCAGGACTGAGGTGAGCTCAGGCAAAAAGTCAGCCACATCCATCTCAGCAAATACAGGGGTGGTGCTGTGTTTGTCCCAGCTCTGCAGGGGCCACAGGCAAGATCTGACCTGGGAGCCGCTCTGGGCAAATACACAGGGCTCATCCAATGGCCCCTAAAACAGAAAAGGGCTAGGGCTGTGGGGCTAATGACAGACTTGTCTTGCAGATGTGAGGCCCGAGTTCCAACCCAAGAAGCACAAAAAAGGACGGAAGGAAAGAACTGGTGTCCCCTTCGGGTCTTCTCCCGGATCCTCAGGACCCTTGCTTAGAATAAGGTCTTTGTGGATGGAGTAAAAGCAAGGATGAAGGTGAACTCACTGGACTAGGTCTTCAGTCTAATGAGCGCAGACCCCATAGAGGCAGGTGCAGATGGGGGGTGGGGAGACAGGGGCACACCCTAGGGAGCCGGCTATACACTGGCCAGCAAATCCTAGGGCAGCCAGTGTAGAGCAGGAGGCTGGGTCACAAAAGGTGAGCTTCATAGACAGCCCAATAGCAAAAGAGTGATAATAAAAACATCCAACTTACAAACGCCCTCTATGATTGGACTCCTGACGGGGGGGGGGGGGATATGGCAGCGAGCATGCCAAGACTCATTAGTGCGGGAGCCAGCGGCACTGGCTGTCCGAGGTAGGTACATACTGTGAGAGGTTGTTAATATAACCACACAATGCACACAAATCCTAAAACAGGGGAAAGCTGCGGTGAAAGACTGCACATCACAGAGGAAACAGGAGAGCTAACACCTGTGGCTACTGCAAGAAGTGCGGCAAACGGATTGGAGAAATGGCCTCCCTAGGCCGTGTCAGGAGCTGTCAGCTGTGCCCGGGCAGAGGGGGCCAGCCAGCGCGCCGTAGCTGAGCACTGTCTGCCCAGCCGGAGGGTTGAGCTACTGTGGCAGCAGCATGGCCCCCAAATGTGCTCAGGCCTCCCTGTCCACACCCACAGCCCCTAGGCCAGAGGGACTAAAGGGATACAGAAAGAGCACCCTGAAATACCAGGTGCACACACTGGCCGCAGGCCCTCCTGCAGGGGAGAAGCTGGCTCTGCCCCGTGGGTGTATGTGCCATGTCCCTTCCTGGGCCACCTGTCTGCCCAGGGCTGGCAGGGGCGTCACCTGTGGTACAGTGATGACTGCCTCCCGCCCGTCCTCCCTCTCGGGCTCCTACCCTAGGCCTTGGACACCTTCTCTGAGAACAGTCTCCCAGGACGTACCTTGTTCGCGGACGCACTTGTGGCCCAGCTGCTCTGCCGTGCATCCAGGTTCGGTGAAAGGCCGGGGCCTCGTGTGCTCATGTGGAGGACCGGCGGATGGGGCCAGGGCGCTGCCCCAAGGGCGGCCGCCGGTTCCTGCAGTGGGCAGCTTCCCTGCCTGCCCACCCTCCCTGGCAGGGAGACGTGCTAACGGTGAGGACCTGCTGCGCGGGCCAGCGGATGGCCGCGGCGCGGCTCCCCAGCACCCGCGTGGGGAGGCCTGGCGTGGGCTTCCCTGGGCCCAGGGGAGCGGTGCTGAGATGGAAGTGTGCGGTGTGGGCCCCCCCCAGGTCCCCCCTGCACAGGGTTTTGTGCCCAAGCTGGCTCAGGGGTCTGGGCTCACCTAGGCATCTGAGGGATGAAGGGCACAGGCAGGGGAGGCCACCCTGCCTTTCCCGCCCTCCTTCCTCCCTCACAGGGAGGCCTGGTGCATAGAAGGGGGGAGGCAGGGTCCAGCCTGGAGTGGTGGCTGCCCCAGCTGCCCCCGCCCCCTGCTGTCCAGGGTCCCTACCAGGTGTGCTTCCAACAGTCCAGGGCCTGGGCTTGTGCACATGCAGGTGTGGGGGTGTGCACACACACACATCAGGGATGGCAGCTGGGCGCACAGCCCCAGAGCCACAGAGGCATCCTGGGATACGCAGCCTGGAAGGCAGCGGGCAGCAGGAGGATGGCCCCGTGGGACCATGCCCCAGCCACAGGGCAGCAGAAAGGCTGGACACTGTGCCTGGTGGGAGAAGGGGCTTGGGAGGGTAAGTCCTGGGCCCACTTGTGGGCACGGCGTGGGGTGTGCGCAGGGTGCTCTGACCCCACTGGGCTCTGCCAGCCTAGCCAGCAGATATGTGGCTTGAGCTTCAGGTTCAGGCAGGAGGCCTTGGGCAGGGAGGAGGAGGGGTGGAGGCAGAGGCCCATCTTACCTGTGGGGCTCTGGGCAGGGGGAAGCAGGTGGAGCAGCCTCAGGGCTGACCAGGGCAGTGTGGGGGAACAGGGCTGGGCTGGCTCAGCAAGTGCAGGTTTCCAGGCGCATGCCTGGCCAGAGCATTGGCTCAGTGGACAGCATGTAGGAGACGTGCGCGTGGCAGTGGCACTGATCAGAGCCGATTTGGGGGATAAGCTAGGGAGAGGCCCCAGGTGCTCATGACCGGGAGGAGTCCCTTTAGAGGTCCTAGTTGCAGCCTCAGGTGAGGGCTGTGGAGGCTGGGGGTGGGAAAGGCACCGTTGGTGCTGGGAACTACCACTGATATGGTAGTGAGGGTCCGGGCTGGTGGCTGGCCAGGAGCGAGGTGAGACCACATGGAGGACTGGCCATTGTGCCTGAGGCAGAGCTGGGGGCTCAGAGGCCATGGAGGCAGGCAGGGAAGATCCCGAGACCATGTCCCAAGGTAGAAGCCCAGGATGAGGCTGGGGTTTGGTGAGCAGGGAGGTAGGAGGGCCGTGGGAAGGTCTGTGCAGGGAGGGGGACCATGGAGGGGGGGTAAAGGGGAAGTGTGGGGCCGAGGAGAGAGAGGGCTGGATGGAGGACAAATCCAGGCAATGCTGTGCCCAACCCTGGGGAGGTGCAGGGCAGCTGGGCATCCCAAAGCTGGGCACATGTTCCCGAGGGCAAAGGCCTGAGCCAGCCGGGGTCGGCACAGGGGAGTGTGAGGCTGGGACGTGGGTGTGTGTGGGGTATGGGGTAGGGCTTCTGGAACTGCTGGCGTTACAGCCTGGTCCAGGGCAGAGGCGGGGCTGGCCAGGCGGGCTGCAGGAGGCCAGCAGGGAAGGTGGAGGTATCGGGAGGCAGCTAGTGCTCAGCCCTGGTCTGCGTGGTTGGAAGGCTGTGGGGCCCAGCAACTGGTCCTGGGCCGAGGAAGCTCTGGGCAGCCTCTACCCAGCCACAACGGCCCTCCTGTGCTGCAGGGCCGCAGGCTCGCCCCTGTGAGCTCAGCGCAGAGGGGCACAGGTTATGCGTTTCTCCCGCCCGTTACAGATGTGCCCACTGAGGCAGGCCCAGGCCCAGGCGAGTGTGCAGAGCAGGGGCTGTTCCCCAGGAAGCCCCCGGCTTCCTGCATGGGGTGGGGCCTGACGGGGGACGGCCGCTGACCCTGCCCTGGAGCCGGCCTCGGGCTTTGTCCGGACACCGGTTGCCCAGTGGCGCGCCCCCCTCGTGGCCCCCAGCCCTCTCCCTCTTGTCTCCCTCCTCCCCGTGGCCTGGTCTGGCTTTAAGCTCGATCTCCTCCTGGCGTGTCGCAGCGGCGGGGACCGCAGGCATGCACACCACACCCGGCTAGGAACGCATGTTTAACGCATGTACAGTAACACTCGGGCTGGGTTTACACGACTGGGGAGCGGTTCGTGTGCCGGCGCGGCCGCGCGTGGGGCGCGGGCCGGGAGGCGGCGCGGCGCGGGCCCCGCTCACTTGACGTGCTCGGCGGCGTGCGAGGAGCAGTAGTACTTCTTGTGCGCGATGAAGGTGGACAGGCTGCTGAACCGGATGTTGCACAGGCGGCAGTAGCGGTGATGGCCGCCGCCGGCGGGCGCGCGCGCGCCGGGGTCCGCGGGGTCGGGGGACGGGGAGCGCGGCGCGCGGCCGTCGGGGCTGTCCCGCGGGGCGCGCTCGGCCGCGGGCTCGGCGCCCGGGGCGGCGGCGGCGGCGGGCCGGGCCCCGCGCAGGCCGTGCGCCAGGCGCAGGTGCTCCACCAGGTCGGCGCGCGCGCGCCCGTTGGGCGGGCAGTAGGGGCAGGGCGCGGCGGCGCGCAGCGGCGCGGCCGGGCACGAGAACTGCTTGTGCGCCAGGTAGGCCTCGAGGCTGTGGAAGCTCACGCGGCACGCGGTGCACTCGTGGTAGTCGGCCAGGCCCGGCAGCGCCGCGGGCGGCTCGGGCGGCCGCCGCCGGGGCCGCTTGCTCAGGTCGATGGGGCCGTCGGGGGCGGGGTCGGGCGAGAGCGCGGGGGCGGAGCCCGCGCTTCCGCTTCCGCTCGGGGGCCGCGGCGAGCCCGGCGGCTCGGGCGCGGGGGCGTGGCCGGCGGCGGCGGGGGCGTGGCTCGCGCCGGGAGGGGCGGGGCCGGCCGCGGGGGGCGGGGCGCCGGCCGCGGGCAGCTCGTACAGCTTGCGGCGGCGGCGCGTGCGCGCGGGGGGCGCGGCGGCGGCGGGCGCGGCGGCGGCGGCGGGCGCGGCGGGCGCGGGCGGCCGGCGCGGCGGCGGGTCGTGGCGCGAGGCGCAGTAGTAGCGCTTGTGCACCGTGTAGGTCTCGTGGCGGCTGAAGCGGATGTTGCAGGCCTCGCACAGCGTGCGGCTGGGGTCGTCCTCCGCGTCGTCCCCCGAGCCGCCCGGGCTCCGGCCGCCCTCGCCGGCGGCGGGCGCGGCGGGCGCGGCGGCGTCGCGCGGCGGCGGGTCGGGGCCCGGCGCGCGGCGGCCCGAGCAGTACAGGCGCTTGTGCACGTAGAAGTTGCTGGCGTGGTGGAAGGTGATCTCGCACTCGAAGCAGGTGGCGCCCGCCGCCGCCCCGGCGCCCGCCGCCGCCCCGGCCGGGCCCTGCTGCAGCCGGCTGTGCACCAGCTCCGACATCTTCGCCAGGATCTCCGAGGCCTGCGGCGCCGCGGGCCCCGCCGCCGCGCCCGCCTCGGGCGCGCACACCAGCGGCGGCACCAGCAGGGCGCCGGCCGGGCGCAGCTCGCCGGGCCCCGGGCTGGAGCCGGGCGTGGGGCTGGGCAGCTCGGCCTTCACCCGGACGGCGGGCGGGCTGGGCGGCGACGGAGTCCTGCGGGGCGCCCGCGGCTCGGACTCCCCGGGGCTCGCCTCGGGCTCCTCCGCCGCTTCCACCTTGACGCTGCGGGGGGCCGCCGGGGGCTCGCTGCCGCCCCCGTTCTGGGGCGCCGCCGGGGCCTCCCCGTTGGTGGCCGCGGCCGGGGCCTTTCGGTCCGGTCCTGGCGATGGGGTGGTCGCCGAGACCAGGGGCCCCTGCAGGGCCGAGGGCTGCTGGAAACCGGCCAGGCCGTCTGCAGGGAGACCACAGGGCCGTACCTCAGCCCGGGCGGGCTGCCACGGGGCGGGGGTCCGGGGCTAAGGCGGAACCTGACCCCACTCCTCCCCTCCCAGTGGACAACCCTGTCCTCTGCAGGGGGACCCTGGTCCACAGTGCTCGCCGCTCACCTGCCGGGAGTTTTGCTCCTGGCGAGTAGATCTCTCCCTTGGAGCCTGGCTGGCACACCATGTGGTTGGTCACCAGGTGGCTGTAGAGGATGTCCCTTGTGGTGGAGATGAAGCCACAGTTGTGACAGACACCTGCGGGCCATGCTGTGCTGGTCAGGGCCCGGGGCCCTCCACCCGGCCCCACGCCCTCCTCCCGCCCCGGCGCCCACCTACCGCTCAGTGTGTCCGTGTGCACCTTGAGGTGGCGCTCACAGTTGGCCTTGGTGGTGAAGGCCGACAGGCAGATGAGGCACACGAAGGGACGCTCTCCTGGAACACGGGTGGAGGAGGCGCTAGCGCTAGCTCCGGCCCGGGAGGCCCCGGATCCCTGGCCTCTATTACTGGTAGGGAGCCCCTTGTCTCAGCCCTGCGTCGACGTGGACCACCTGCTCTGGGAGTCCGCCTGCCAGGCATGAGGACTGTTCCGGAGCCCACACGTGTGCATCCCCGCAGGGTGCACTCCCCCCGGCGCCTGTCGGGTCTGTGGCACCGCAGCACACAGCGAGGCACACAGCACCGGCGAGGAGGCTCGGACTACGTGCCGACGGCAGGGCGGGTGGTGCCCTGGCGTCCGGGACTCACCACTGTGGCTGCGCATGTGGATCTCCAGGGAGCTGGCGCTGGGGCAGCTCTTGCGGCACTGGGGGAAGGGACAGATGCGCTCGTTGGGGTAGGTCTCCTTGGGCTTCTCCTCCGAGGCTGCGGCAGCGGGGGATGCGGCGCGCTGGCGGCTGGCACAGTAGTAGAGCAGGTGGGCCTGCAGGTTCCGCTCGCTGCGGTACCAGATCCCGCAGTCCTTGCACGGGAAGATGTCTTCTGTGGGGAGAGTCAGTGTGAGCGGTGCTTCTGCAGCCCAGAGGGGCACGCAGCCCTCTGCAGCCTCAGGTCTGGCCCCGGTGGGTCCTACATCCACCGTCCTTGGGGCTGGTTCCGCCCCGCAGCTCTCCCCCTCAGCCTTTTGGTGACTTGTGCAGGATGCAGAGGACTCGTGAGGAACAGGAGTCCCCCCACTGCCGACAGTGGGTGCAGGAAGAAGATGCCTGGGCCCCTGAGGAGGAGTGTGGACATGCAAGTGTGACCGGGCCAGGTGCACTGTGTTTGGGAGTGGCTGTCATCTGGGAACCCGTGTACGCCAGGGAGCTGCGGCACAGGCAGGAGCCCAGGCTCTGCAGAGGAGCGTTCTGACTGCCCAGGTGGCCGCATGCCGGTCACCCATTCAGGGCGGAGGAGCCTCACTAACTGGCTGTCCCTGTTGAGCTCCTGGGCTCGGGGGCTCTGAGGGCCGGGGGGCGGTGCCTCAGGGAGGCTGTTCAGCTCCTGGTTCCCTGACTTCAGGAGACAGAACGGGAGGAACCATGTGCTTCTGTCTGCGTACCTTCCCAGCCACCCTCCCTGCTTCGGGCCCTGTATGTGGGTGCTCTTGCCTCTGGGGAGCGCCTCTCAGGCAGGGCAAGGCGAGGAAGCCCTTCAGGGTTTGTCCTACGTGCTCTCCAGCTACTCAGGGTGGCTGGTAGGATGGGGGTCTTGGAGCGGTTGTTCTCTCTAGTGTGGCTGTTTGGTAATACCCAAGTCCGTGTGCTCTGGAGTGGCTGTCCCTACAGGTCAGGCCACAGTTCCACCTTGGGGACCCTCCATGCTGCCTGGCTCACTGTGACACTGAACAAGTAACTGGGGGGAGGCCACCCTGTGAGCTTCAGAGATGGGCTCACGGCCTTTTCCCTTCGAGTGACTTGGGCTCTGAGGACCCGTGTGGCCTTTCCCTGGCTCAGATGCCACTTCTCAGCGTGCATACCCCACCTTTCCTGTGGCTCCACCCGCAGCCTAATGCCCCCACACCTTCCCTGCCACCAGCTCTCTGCATGCCGAAGGCCCTGCGTGTCCGTTCCCTGCATCAGCTGGGATCTGTTCCTCCTCGGACTCTGTGATGCCTGCATGCATGACAGATACAGGAACGGAACCGGGACCCTGAGTATGCTGGACACGTACCACCACTGGGTGGGCGCTGCCCGCAGGCCTGTCCCCCCCCCCCCGTGGGGACCACGAAACTCACTGTTGATGACTGCCGTTGCCAGGATGGAGGCCATGCCGGCCTGCTGAGGCAGCAGCTGGATGTCGGCGTGCCCTGGGGCCGGGCGCTCTGGCTCTGCTGGCTCCTTCACGGGCTGGCCGGGGGTGCCCAGGGGCTCGGCCATAAGGGCCACGTGCAGGTGTCCTCCGGCAGGCACGGGCTTGGTGACTCGGCACCAGAGGGCGCCGTCTGGGGGAGGCAGCTGTCTGTAGTGGTGGTCCCGCGCTGCTGGGCTGCACTGCTCTTTGTCCCCATGTAACCCTGGGGTCCCCGCCCAGGCCCAGGGTAGAGGCCCACAGCAGGAAGTGGCCGTGCCCAAGCTCACTGGCCGGCCTGTTCTGCCTCGGTGGGATGGGGTCTCCCGAGCAGGGTGCCCGCCCCCCTGCGTGTATATGTATGTGTTGAAGGGGGTTGATCTGGTTGTCCCGTTTCCAGGAGAGGGGTGGCACATGAGACAGGTGGAGACCAGACACGGCCCTGAGTAGCCCCTTGAGCTCCGTCAGAGTGGCCGGAGGGGGGGGGGTGCTGAAAGGATTCTTCCCACTCTGTGGGAAATTGGTTAGGAAGATGGTTCCTGCGACGGCCTGCAGGGGGCAGCCTTGGCAAACAAACTCAGGTGACCAGGCTAGCAGGCCGACCTGATGCCCTCAAAGCTGAAGACAGCCCGCTTAGAACATTCTAGGAAATGCCCCTGGGGATGCACCCCTCCAAAGTTCAAGGAGCCAGGGATAATGGACGCTTTTGACTGCAGCCTCTCAGCCCTCCAAGCGTCCAGGTTCCAAGTGGATGGACATGGGGGGGGGCAGGTTCTGAGGTTAGTGCAGCCAGCAGGCCCTGGTCCAGTTGACATGGGCCAGGCCCCACCTGTGCACCCAGCCTGGGCTGCTAGTTGCTGTTGCTACCCTGAAGTGGACCCCAGGAAGTCCTGGGAGTACTCACCGCTTGGGGCGGGGGGGAGGGGAGAGAAGCAGGGACCACTTGGCCCTAGGAGGCCAGGGCACTGCCTGGTAGGCCCAGGCCCCTTCAGAATGGGTGTGCTGCCCAGGGCAGGTGGAGGGAGGGGCGATGGGGGTGCCCACTGGATGTTTCCCTTTAAGCCAAGTGACCCTCCGCCTTCCGGAAGGCCGGGAGGGAGGCTCGAGATACTCACCCTTCCTGTAGATCTCTGAGTTGGCTTCGGCCTCAGTCAGGGCCTGGGGCAGCGTCCTTAGCCAGCGGGCCTCATCTGTGAGCTTCAGGGTCAGGGCTGGGCCCTGGGGAGAGCAGGGACAGGGTGGGGTCAGCCAGCACAGGAAGAGCCTCTGAGGGCCCGGTGGGCCGAGAGACTGCTGTGACAGGCGTGGTGTGCTGTGCACAATCGGGGGTCTCGGTGGCTGAGAGAGCCCTGGCCCCGGTGCCCTGGCCCCCGGTGCCCCGTCCAGCGCCACTGGGACTCGAGGTACTGCGGGGTGCAGCACCTTCCACAGCTGGGCGTCTGGGTTCTCTTGGAAACCAAGGCCCAGAGAGGTCACCAAGTATGCTCAAGGTCACAGCCTGAACTGGAGCCAGATCTATGTTCTCTTCAGCATGCCACCCTGCGTGAGTGGGCTGTTGGCCATGAGGGTACGCCCCCCACCCCAGAGTCCCTGCATGCCTCCAGATGAGCTCTCTGCGCTAAGGACATGGGCCCAGAGGACAGCTCATCCCTAGAGAGGGACTTGGTGTCCCTCTGGGCCGTGGTGTCCCCGTCCCCAGGCCCAGGAGGACAGGCTGCCTTTGTCCTCGCTCACTGCCCTGCCTGTGCTGGCCAAGCACTGGTCCCTCCTCTAGGTGACAGCCCCATGCTCCACGGCCTCCTCCCACACCACAGCAAGCAGCCAAGGGCAGGGTCAGCAGGGCCAGAGGCTGAGCTTTGGACCAGGACACTTTCCAGGCAGCACGGCTTGAGTGTGGAAGAGAAGAAGCACTGGGCTAGGCCCTCGGGGCCTGGAGGCCACTCAGTTCCCGATCTCCCCCAGCCCAGCCCAGCCCAGCCCAGCAGCAGAGAAAACACAAGTGGCCTGGTCCTGGAAGAGGACTGGGCGCAGGGGTCCCGACTACACGGAGAGGCCGAGGCTCTCCGAGTCAGGTGGCGACAGCCCGGGGCTCTGGTCCCTTCCTGCACGTCACAGGTCAGGCCCCGCCAACGTTCGCGGCCATCCCGTAAGGCCACTGAAAAGCCCAACGGCGCATTCCAATCTCGAACCCAAACCCATGGCCACCACCCATCCCTCCAAGCTCCTTGGAGAGAGGACGGCGTGGCTAGGGCAGGAGGCAGGCAGGTGGCTGTGGGCATCCCTAGAGGACGGGCACCTCCCAGCCAGGCCTGGCCTAGCCAGTTCCAGTCCCGCCGGGCCTCTCCACTGAGCCCCCATCCACGCAGCACGCAGGGAGCTGCCAGGGCCTGCGGGCTGGCCACGCCCGGCGGCAGCACGTGGAGAGGTCGGGCAGCCTGACCAGGTGGCTCTGTGCAGCCACCTCGCTGCCACGTGGCTGGTGGAGATAAGCCAGTGAGGGTGGGACCCTGCCCCAGCCGGCATTACCTTAACCCATCTGCAGTCCCCTCTACCGTCCTGCGTGGGGCCCCGGCCTCCGCGGGTCTCAGCCCATCCCGGGGGAGCCCCGGGCGGGTCATCTCCACCCGTCTGTGGCTTTCCTCCCAGGACACGGAGTGGGGATGTGCGGGAGGCGCGTGTGATGGCGTGGGCCTGGTGAAACGTCAGCTCTGCCCACTGCCTTGGCTCTCTCTGGCTCCAGGACGCAGTGGGCAGTGAGTGGCCTCCTGGCCCCGGCCCCCAGCAATTGCTGTGTTGGCTTAGAGTATGAATCCCGCCAAAGGAGCTGCCTTGTACCCCACTGTTAATACCCCCGTTCTCAGGACTGAGTGGAGCGGTGAAAGCGGGGAGTCTGGCAGCCAGGCTGGGGGCAGCCAGGAGCGGGGAGGAGGGCTGTCACTCCCATCCCCGCCGTGCCCGGCCTGGGCGGGCGGCCATCGGAGAGGCGGCCGGGCCTCGCCCTCCCTGCATTGCCTTCCTTGTCTCTAATGAATATTAATGAGCGGAGGAGGGTGAGAAAATTAATCTGCCTGATCCTCTGATGGTGCTGCGGTAACGATATGAAATCTAATTATTCGTCCCAATATTTCTAAACCCTCAAACTGAGACTGACAGCCTCGCGGCCGGTCTACCGCTTATCGCTCTGGGGAGCAGCATGTTCTCGGCATGATAAAAACACGCGCGCGAGGCTCTGCTGACGCTGCACAACCCGGCCTTTCTGCGGAGGTCTGGGCGCGGGCTCTGCCACGCCACATTCCTGCTGTGGTCTCCACGCAGGGAGCCCGGGAGGGGGCAGGGTGAGAAGGCCAGTCTGGCCTCCCACGGTCCTGACTCAGCCCTCCAGGGCTGTGAGCGGCCTGCCACCCGCTGGAGGGGGAATGCACGGCCCAGCCCGAACCTGAGGCCAGGCCGCGCCAGCCTGTCCTGCCCTCTCCGGACCTCCGGCCCCCCTGGCCCATCCTCTCACCTACTTTGGCAGCAGCAGCCTCAAGGACGTGGTCTCTGGGAGGGCCGGGCCTCATGGCACAGCCTGGTTCCCATCTTGTCCCCTATTTCTGAGCAGCCCTGGTACACAGCCCCTTCTCCCTCCTGCCCTGCCCAGCCCTGTGTGTGTGTGTGTGGCAGGGGCAGGCTGGGAAGGGCTGGTGCTTCACCCCCTGTCCCGTTCGGTTCTGGGTTGCGGCCTAGCCTGGGCCCCACGTGGCCTGGACAGGTGTGCCCACGATTGGTGACAGTTTCTGAGCCTCCTGATCCCTCCTGGATCCCTGGCCAGCTCTGCAGGACAGCAGCTTTCTCAAATTCTCTGATGGAGCTGGGCACCGGCGGCTCACGCCTGTCATCCTAGCTACTCAGGAGGCTGAGATCTGAGGATCACGGTTCAAATCTAGCCCAGGCAGGAAAGTCTATGAGACTCTCCAATGAACCACCAGAAAACTAGAAGTGGCGCTGTGGCTCAAGTGGTAGAGTGCACACCTTGCACTGACGAACTGAGGGACAGCGCCCAGGCCCAGAGTTCAAGCCCCACAACAACAACAAAAAAGGCTCTGGCTTCCTGAGGGGTGCGCTGCACTGCCCCTGCTGGCTGTCCCTCTGCCAGTCCAGTCTCACCTGCCCTTTGTCAGGGTCCAGTTTTGGACAGGCCTGGTGGCGGTGCCCGTGCTGGCTCAGGGGCGGGAGGGGGTGGGTAGAGGCTGAAGAGGGCTGACCCCCCACAGTCTCTCGAGGGTGGGATGAGGGATCCCGGGGCTTGAGGCCCTTTTCAAACCCTACCCCTGCAGGAGGGAACTGGGCACAGAGAAGCCGGGTGCCCAGGACCCCACAGGCTAGCAGTGGGCTGACCTGTCAAGCCTTCTAGCTTCCCCCCTTATTTGCTGCTTCAAAGACTGGGCTTGACTGCCCGCCCTGGGGGGGGGGCGGCTCCCTCTGGACCCCTGAGCTGCCAGCTCTATACACACACACACACACACACACACACACACACACACACACACACACACACACACACGGCTGCACTCAGGAAGGGTCTTTGCCTAGAATAAACCAGTATACTTAGAGTCAACTGGTGTTTCCCAGGGGAGTTGAAAATACATGCTGGGAAAAGACAGCCTCCTCAACAAATGGTGCTGGTAAACAGAAGATGAATTGGATCCCTGCCTGCCACCTTGCACAAATGGTGTTGATGGACAGAAGATGAATTGGATCCCTGCCTGCCACCTTGCACAAATGTCAACTCAAAATGCAAGGGCCTCAACCTCAGACCGTAAACCCTGAGACCACTATGGTAAGGGGTAGGAGAAATGTCAGAATTGATGTAGGTAGAACTTTCTGAGAAGAGTTCCAGGAGGCTCAGCAAATTGGAGGGAGAGTCAACCAATAGGATTGCATCAGGCTAAAACATTTTTGCACAACAACGGACATAGTAAGCTAAAATGACAGCCAACAATCCATTCAACAAAGTCCTAATATCCAAAATATACAAGGAGCTAAAAGATTGACGCCCTTCTCCAACAAAACTAAACCAATCAATAAATGGGCTGAGGAGCTTGAGAGAGACTTTTCATCAGAAGTAAGAACAGAGCCGGGCGCTGGTGGCTCACGCCTGAGCTGAGAGGCTGAGATCTGAGGATCACGATTCAAAGCCAGCCCGGGCAGAAAAGTCCGTGAGACTCTTATCTCCAATAAGCCACTCGAAAACCGGAAGTGGCGCTGTGGCTCAAGCGGTAGAGCGCTCGCCTTGAGCTGAAGAGCAGCTGAGGGACAGTGCTCAGGCCCAGAGTTCAAGCCCCACGACCAACAAAAAAAAAAAAAGAAAGGAAGAAAGAAAGAAAAGAAATAAGAATGCCAGATAGACAGGTGAGGACAAGCCCAACAACCCTGGCCAAAAGGGAAATGCAAATCAAAACAACACAGAGGTTCCATTTTATCTAGTATAGGACCAGTATGGAGGATTTGAACAACAAATGCTGGCAGGGATGTGGGAAAGAGGAACAAACCCTAGTGCACTGTTGGTGGGAATGTAAACTACAACCACTCTAGAAGACGGTTTGGAGGTTCCCCAGACAACAGAACTTCCCTGCACCCCAGCCATACTCTTGGGCATCTACCCAGAACATCACAGTCAGGATGCCATAAAGCCACGTGCACACCCATGTTCACTGCTGCACTATTCACAACAGCCAAGTTACGGAACCAGCCCAGATGCCCTACAACAAATGAATGGATGAATAAAATGTGGTACAAATAGACAATGGAGTCTTACCCATTAGAAAGAGTGTCATGTCATTTGCAGGGAAGTGGATGGACCTAGAAAAAATTATGGGCACATTCAGGAACTTGCTCTCCAGGAGGCATGGTGAGGCTCTACCAGGGGAGAGCACTGGCTGTGTGGCGGAAGCCAGGCCCGGTGTCTGGGACACCACGTAGTCGGGGCTGGAAGGCTGCAGAGGACGAGCAGGCTAGTACTAGGCTGGTAAGAGGAGTGAGGTGTTCAGCGATGCGGTGCAGGTGTGATGAAGGTGAGAATGAGGGACGTGGACCAGAACTACAGCAAGTCCATGGGCCGCGGGCAGACCCGGGCTGGGTGCCCCAGAAGTTACTGGAACATGGGCAGGGCGGCTGCCTGGGGGTCTGGAGGAGGAAGCCTTTCCTGGGTACCTCTGTCCCTTCTGAATTTTTATCTATGGCCAAGAGACATGGGTGAAACTAACGGGAGCCTGGGCACTGGCCAGCGCTGGCCTCTGTGAGCGCCTTCCCATGGCAGTACCCCATGCCAGCCTTTGGGTCTCCTCACTCGGCTAGGGACTGCTGTTTGTCCCCGGCCTGCCCCCCCGACGGCCCGGGTTATGCCCAGGTGGGAGTCTTGGCCATTTTGGGATGGCCACTCCACATCCACCCCTGGAAGCCATGCATAAGTTGGGCTCCCATGGTCCCATTCGGTATGCAGCAGGGGCCTTTCCTGCCAGGTCTTTGGCTTGCGTGGCAGCCAGGGCCCCGCCTGGCCCCACAGACCTTGGAGTGGGCTCGTGGCTAAAGCAAGTGAACTGTGCAGGACACTGGACAGCAGAGCGAGGCTGGAGCGAAGGAGTTGTTTCATTGTTCATCACCACCTGTTCACCCATCCATCCATTCACCACGTACCCATCTGACAAGACTGGGAGTGTAGATAACTCACAAACCCACCTAGGAATCCACATGTCCACTCTCCTACTTCTGTCCACCACCCACCCAGCCACCCAAGATTCCATGTGCCCTCTCTACTGATGAGCACCCTCCGCCCACACACCGCCCAGAGCATTCATGCATCCGTTCTCTTGGCCATCATCCAGCCATGTACCCACCCACGTGTCCACCCCTGTATCATCCACATGCTTACCCATCCATCCACCACCTATGCACTACCATTCACCCACTTGCCCATCCATCCACCTACTCATCCATCACCCATCTATCCATGCACCTCCTACCCATCAATTTGTCCACCACCCGTGTACTTAATTATCCATCCATCCACCCACCCACATTGCTGCATCCATGCGTTCAGCCATCCACCTACCCATCCATGCATCTGTGTCCACCCATCTATCATCCATCCGCCCCAACTACCATCCAACTGTTTGTCTGTCCATGCACTCATCTATTGTCAACCCACTCATCCTTCCATCTTTCTTCTATCCAGTCTTGTGTCCATCCATCCATCCATCCATCCACTACCCATCATCCACCCACATTGCTCTATCCACTCAGGCAATGTGTGTGCTCACGTTTGTCCTTCCATCCGCTCATCCACCCATCTATTCATCACTCATCCACCTACCCACTCCTTAGCACTGTTTCTTCTGTGTCTAACTTTGGAGCTGGTTGGGCCTGGCCCCAAAGGAGCCTCTTCTGCAACTCCTGGTTCTGCAGTGGTAGAAAGCTCAGCAAATCAGCACCAGATCAAGAATGCCCAGTGGTCCTTCAGGGCCCTGTCACGTGGCTTCCTTCCTGTGTGCCCATCCTGGATGCCCAGCCTGAGGTCCTGCCTGGCCACCCCCTGCATCTTAACCTCACAGTGCCCAGCCTGAGGTCCTGCCTGGCCCCCCCCATCCTAACCTCACTGCCCAGCCCGAGGTCCTGCCTGGCCCCCCCCCTCCCCCCCGCATCTTAACCTCACAGTGCCCAGCCTGAAGTCCTGCCTGGCCCCCCCCATCCTAACCTCACTGCCCAGCCCGAGGTCCTGCCTGCCCCCCCCCCCCCCGCATCTTAACCTCACAGTGCCCAGACTGAAGTCCTGCCTGGGCCCCCCCCCCCACATCTTAACCTCACTGCCCAGCCCGAGGTCCTGCCTGGGCCCCCCCCCACATCTTAACCTCACAGTGCCCAGCCCGAGGTCCTGCCTGCCCCCCCCCCCCCGCATCTTAACCTCACAGTGCCCAGCCCAGGCCCCGAGACTGGGTGAGACCACGAAGGGTCTTCCACTTCACACCCACTGTGCTCAAGTCCCCCTGTGGGCAGGAAGGTCCTCCACTCCACATCCCCGCTCACTGCACTCCCACGTCTCTGAGGGAGAAGAGGAAGCCTGGTCACACCAGGCGATGTCTTCCTCACGCAGTAAGGGGGAGATGGGGCCCATCAGTCCAGCTTGATAAGGGCCGCTGAACTGAACGTGAGCAAAAATATTTAGACAATAAACGAAGTATCGGAAAGACATGCCTATCTTTCAGAAATCAATCATCTGCACAGTATGTCTGGACGCTCGGCGCCAAGGCAGAGATAGCGGCTTGCTGGGAAGATAAGGGTTAATCAAGGCTGAATTCTGGTAAGATAGAAGGGAGGCGGGCAGGAAGCTACTGCTTCTCTGTGGGGTGGGAGACCTTAGGCTCCTCCAACTCTGCCTTCCTGGTCCCCTCTTAGGCTTGATGCGGGGTGGGGATGGGCAGTGCTTCTATCCTGTGCCACCTCCCCTGGCTGACCCCTGACCTGTGCCCCTGAGCAGGGGAATGGGTGGGGGGAGGGCAGGAGAGGGTCCCGGGGGTGGGCTTCCAGAGGACGGCCCTCAGCCCTGTAGGAAGGCACCATGGGCTCCATGTCCTCCCAACTCATTGACCCGATGAGACTCGGGTAGGCCAACAACTGTCTCCACCTCTGCTTGGCTTTTTCACAGAGCCTGGCGTGCTAACCCTTTGAGCCACAGCTCTACTTCCAACTATTTTGTTGTTAGTTGGGAGTCTGAGGCTTCCCTTCCCAGGCTGCTTTTGAACCATGATCCTCAGATCTCAGCCTCCTGAGTAGGTAGGATGACAGGCGTGAGCCACTGATGCCCAGCTAGAGCCGGGAACGGGGGACAGTGGTTTCCTCCTGCAGGGCAGGGAGGCCGGGTGAGGTGTGTGCCGCACGGGGCAGAGGGCACGGTGGGACAGAGAAGAGAAGCAGGGATGGGCGAGGACCCGTCTGGCTCTCCGCCATGCCTGCCTGTGCCCCTCACTACACATGGTCACGGGACAGTACGCTGAGAAGCCAGAGCTGGGAGCCGCAGAGCTCCTGCCGCCCCCAGAGCCCGCCTTCTACCCAGAAAACCTCACAAAAGCCACGGTGGCCTGCCTGCCTCGGTGACACCAGCTCACACACTCCCTGCAGACCTGGCGTCCATCCCACATGGCGGCCTTCTGCTGCCCTTCTGATGTCCCTGTCTGGGCCCAGGCCAAGGGTCTTCCTCCTTAGGGCCGCTGGGCACAGTGCCCACTGGGCATGCCCAGGGCCAGACACCACTGAGGGTTTATCTCAGTTATTGTGCCCAGCCAGCAGGCAGGCGGGGTGCTGGCCCAGCTCTCTCTCCCCTGCAGGGAGGCGGGAGGGTCTGCAGGCTTGTATCCAAAGGCAGCTGCTGGCTCCTTAGTCCAGCAGAAGGTCCCAAAGGTGGAGAAATCCAGGCTCAGAGTAAGCCGAGGCCTGCCAGAGCTTGGAGTGGGAAGTGGTCCGGGCCCAGTGCTACCCGGAGCCTCGGCATGGCGGTGGGAACGCGGGGCCTGGGCCAGCCTCCTCCGTCTCACCTATGGCCTGTGGGCCTCCAAGGTGCTGCGCATGCCAACTCCGGAGGCTTTCCCACATCAGACAGGCACCAGCACCCAAGGCAGGCGGGGCAGGCACAGGAGCCCCGGGGCTGGGGACACCCACCTGCAGGCAGCTTCCAAGCAGGTGTGGAGGGGCCCACCTCAGGCAGCCCCATCCTTGCCCCGGGGCGCCCCGAAGGCTGCTGTACACCCTCAGGACCGAGACTCGGTAGCACATGGCACCAGCCAGCCAGTACGCCCAGGGCCAAGCCACGTCTGGCGGTGGGTGCAGCTCCAGGGCGCTGCTGGACTGACGCCACGGGTAAGCAATGCTGCCCCTTGCCTGCCTGGACCAGGCCTCTCCAGTCCTGCCACCCCGCGTCCCCCCCCCCGCCCTGCTGCCCCCCCCCCCCGGTCCAGGCTCGCTGCCCTCTACACCATTGCCCCTCCCCACCACCGCCCTGGTCCAGGCTCGCTGCCCTCTACGCACTGGTGCTCTTTTCCAAGTCGACGAGGAACCTGGCAAGAGGAAGCCACTGCCCTAAACAGAGGGGCCTCTGACATAAAGCCAGCGTGGGCCCCACAGCCGAGCCCGTCCCGGGCAGCCATGGGAGGGCCCCGCCCAGGCAGGGGCGCCATGTTGCAGGGAGAGGAGCCACGCTGGCCATGGCACCCACAGCATCTGTCCCGGCCCCAAAGGTCGCAGCAGGGCAGGGCAGGCATGGCCCTCCCCTCCCTCGGCAGCCCACATGCTCGGGACGCGAATGCTGATGCCAAGGCCCTGCTCAGCCTCCCTCCACCCCAAGGTGAGGGCAAGAGCAGCCCGGCACGCTGCCCTGCATAGCGCCTGCCTCACCCCTCCAGAAGCCTGAAGGACCTGTCCCACACTCCAGGGGCCTGCCCGTCCTCCAGGCCTCGGAGTCCCCATCTCCTGGCTGCCTCGGCACAAAGCAGCCAATGCTCCTGGCCTGAGGGGCCAAAGGGCAGATGCCACAGAGGGCAAGGGCCTGGTGTGCCAGCTAGGGCTGGCCCTCTTACCTCTTCTGTCTGCCCGGGGGATGTGGCTCTGGTCTGGATGGTCCCCTGGAATGGGCCCCAGGACAGGCCCTCAGCCAGGCTGAGGCGGGCCCGCACGCACCTCCGCCCGTCCCGCAGCTCCAGCTCCAGGTCCTCTGTGGAGAGACAGGGCTGGGTGAGGGCTCAGCCAGGTGACTGAGGAGGCCCACAGACGTCCGCTCTGGCACCACCGGAGCCGCCAGGAGAGGGGCAGAGGGAGAGGGGCCGGGGGAGAGGGGCCGGGGGAGAGGGGCAGGGGGAGAGGGGCCGGGGGAGAGGGGCAGGGGGAGAGGGGCCGGGGGAGAGGGGCAGAGGGAGAGGGGCCGGGGGAGAGGGGCAGGGGGAGAGGGGCAGGGGGAGAGGGGTAGAGGGAGAGGGGCAGGGGGAGAGGGGCAGGGGGAGAGGGGTAGAGGGAGAGGGGGGTCTGGAGCGGGTGATGGTAGGGGGTCCCGGGGTCTCTGGACTGGAGAGACCGCATGAGGGGTTGGTGTGGGTGGGCAGCCTTTGAGAAGGCCCTGGGCACTGTCTGCAGGGTGGTGTGTAGTGGAGGGACGGTAGTCATATGACACACTGTGACCTGTGCGATCTACCTGCACCCCACACCGGTGACCTTGTGGTCTGCCTGAGCCCCATGAATGTGGCCTGTGTGGAACGAGGTCTCTGAAGGTGTGGATAAACCCGGATCTTGAGATGAGGCCATCCTGGATTTTCAGGGTCCCTAAACCCATCCAGTGTTTGCTGGTTTGCTGGTTTGTGGTGCTGGCTGCAGGACCTCACTTGCGTGGCTAGCATCTGCCTTCCTTGAGTTGCAACCTCCTCATTGGACAGCAGGGTCAGTGGCGGCCACTCCCTCAGGGCGGTGCCTCCGTGGCTGCACACCCTCTGCCCAGCAAAGGTGTGCCACTCCGGCCTCACTGCCAGGGCCGGGGCCCACGAGGCCTCACGTGGCCTGGCCTGGTCCCCTGGCTGGAACGTGGCTGCGGCCCTATTTCCTGGAGCCCCACCGAGCAGGCTGCGGCCTTAATGGGCGCGATTATCAGATAACTGTCCGCCTAATGGCAGAGATAACGTGTAAATACGCCAGGAGGCCCTGCGGAGACATTTTAACCGGGCCTTTGTCTTCACCAGGGCAGATAAGGTGGCAGTGGACCAGGACTAGAGGCCGAGAAGGCCCTGCGGCCCTTTATCAGCCCCGGTGGGGGAAGAGCCAGGGCTAGGAGAAAAAAGGTAGGCTGTGCAGTGGTGGTCACGGCCACGGGACCAGGACAGCCCACTCAGGACACGGCTGGCCCACAGTCCTACCAGCTTCCCTCCTGCCCTGCCCTACAGAGCTTGGCAGGCAGCTGGCTACCAGGGTGGGCAGGCGCCATCCTCAGGGAGGTGGAGGAGCTGCAGGCAGTGCGGCATGGACCCGAGCGGGAGCCCTGAGCCATGTAGGTTTGGCACCTGTTCCTCTTCTAGGAACAGGGACATTCCCTACATACACAGCTCCTGAGGTGTACCCGGACCCCAGAAGATATGGAACTAAATGGCCAAGCCACTTTCCCCCGTCTTTCAGCACTGGGAGCATTTCTCCCGGGACAGGGTCTGGCCACCCTGCAGGCAGGGGCAGGGGCAGTCCCCGCCCATGGACAGCGCTGAGCTCCAGCTCTCCCAGACTTCTGGGAGGCAGGCAGAGACTGCACCCCGCCTACCTGCAGGCAAACAGCCCCCACCCTAATCAGAGATCAGGCTGTGGACCCGACTTCCAGATAAGGGCATGGTTGGTGTTTCCCAAGTGGCCGCCCATCCTTTGGGTATCACACACCGCCAGAGGGAGGGCTGGCCCTCGATAAACGTAATGTTGAGGGGGGTGGCAGAGACCTGAGGGGCAGGGCTGACACTGTGGTTACCATGACAACCCGCCTCCTTGGTCCAGGATGGCCCTCTTGGAAGATGCCTCCTGAGGGTGGATTTGGGGCCTGGTGAGGCCTGGGCCGGGAGGAGAGCACAGTGGTTTGTGCCCGGTGTACTCCAGTCCCAGTGCCAGTGGCCACGGCAGCCGTGCAATGCTTACCATTCCCTGCTCAGAGAAATGAGTCCCACGCCTGCTCTAACCTGTGTGGCCCAAACAGGGCAAGCAGGTGTTAAGGTGGAGCTAGTACCCAGCAGTCACGTACCCAGCAGGACACAAAACGGGGGGACAGGAGAGGTATGAGGAGGCTGCCTATGGCGGCCAGTGCCTCCCAGGGCTCACGCGGAGAGGGTAAGAGGTGACGGGTGGACAGCCACCGCGGCCAGCACCTCCACACATTTTTGCCAGGCAAGGTGTGAGGGGCCATGCTGATGCTCTGGTTCTGGTCTCAGTTTCCCCATGCGACCGAGGCGGAGCTCCTGCAGGAACCATAGTCCCAGCACTGGGACGGGACTGCTTCAGATAAACCCACATGCATCCTTTCAAGAACACATGTCCTGGGGTTGAGGAACTGCAGGGTTCCGGGCTCTGGACACCACCAGGTCTTGTGGCCTGGGTGATATCCCCTAGGGACAGGCAGGGCCGAGCACTGCCCATCTGGGCTCTGTTCACCAGCTGGGGCCTTACTGGGAGATGGTGGTAGCTCTGGCCACAAAACTCAGGTCTGGAACCTACAGGCCCACGCCAGGCCCTGCCTCTGTCCTGATGTCTGGGTGCCCGTGGAGCCTCAGGTTACCCAGCTGCAGAAGTGGGCACTAACTCTCCACTGGCTGCGTGTGTGGCGGCCATGCGGTTTCAGGTGGTCGCCTCCTCCTGGGCCCCGGGGTGGGAGGGTGCACTCCCTCTGCAGTGAAGCCCTGCTCCAACCCTGCCAGGCCTCTTCTGTGCCTGGGCGTGAAGGAGGCCTGGAGAGCTGGAGCACGGTGGCCAGGCCATGGCGAGGCTCTTCTGCCAAGACCAGACTCTGAGCTCCCTCCTGGTGGGGAGTTCAGGGCTCTGCCCTGGCTGCTTGGTTCCCAAGTCAAGGCACTGCCCACTCTGGTCCTTGGACCTCAGCCTCCTGACCTGGCCGCAGCAGCTGGCTGACAGCTCAGTCTAGGGAGATGGGTACACGGAGTGTCCGTGAGTGGGCCCCTCCTCTGCCAGTCACCCCACCCCCAAAGGGGCCAGGCCCTGTGCGTGAATGGCGGGGACTGAGGCGCCAAGTCTAGGACTGCGAACCCTCATCCTGAATGGTGGGCTCCGGGGCTGGCACATGGGTGACCACCTGTTACCACCAGCACCCACTAATCTAATCGGCTCATCACTCCTGCCCGGCCCTGCCCTGCCCTGCAGCGCCAGCAGACCAGGTGGGGAGCGGTCCTATCTCAGGGATCCTGTTGTTTGCCTTTGATAAAAGCCATAGAAAAGGAAAGAAAAAGGAGGAAGGGGGAGGGGAGGAAGGCCCAGGCTGAAGTTCCAGAAAACTCTATGGGGCAGGAATCAGGCACAGCGAGGCTGAGATCTGGGGCTCTGGCCAGGCTGTGGATGCTGCCGCCGCTGCTGAACAGCCAGCCGTAGCTCCGCAGACAATGCGGCTCGGAACCTGCATACTGGGCCAGCTGTGTGTGCAAGCCACGCTGAGGCACTCTGGAGTGGTGCCAGAGATGAAGAGCCGGCCCAGGCCTCCAGCTACCCCACCTACCACCCTGGGCAGACTCACAGGCCAGCCTGGCTGCGGCATCTGCTGGCCAGGACCCCTGAGAAAGCCCTTCAGGGCTGGCGTAGTCGGTACAGAGCCCGAGCCTCCCTGTGTGAAGATTTCCACTTCCTGTGTGGTCAGAGGCCCTCCCTGAGCCTGCTCTGGCTTGGCTCTCGGGGGTAGTTGCTGGCAGAAGATGAGTTCTCTATTCCAGGCACCCTCCGGGCCTGGCTGCTCCTGCCCTGTAGGCTCCAGCCTCTCCCTCAGGCCCAGCCACCTCCCGGGGGTGGCCCTGGGTCGGGGCACCACCGCCCATAAGGAAGGGGTGAGCTCGGTCTATGTCTGGGCCGCCTGAAGCTGGACTTGAGCCTGGCGGCACCTGTGGTCAGAACCCAGCTGTATGTGGGCAGAAGGGTAGTGCCTTGCTACCGCTCAGCCGCCGCCTGGCCACCGCTAGCCAGTATTGATTTTTTTTACGCAACAGCATCTTTATCGGCTGAACCCTGGCCCCGGCTGATGGCAGAGCGATTCAGCCTGGGACGAGCAGGCCGTGGAGAGCAGGCCTGCACCCTGGCCTGGGAACTATGGGGCCCCTCGCTCCCTGGGCCCAGCGGCCTGTCCTGGGGACAGGGCAGGCCTTGGCCTCCGTGTGACCGAGGCCCAGCGGGCGGCGGTGGCGGGAACGGTGCTGGGCCGCAGACCGGCCTCTTCTGAGCTGGGTCAGATCTTGGAGGAGGTCGCAGTGGGAGGCCTGTTTTACCACTGCTGGGGTGCAACACGGCCTCTTATGGGCACAAACAGCTGCACCAACAAGAGGGGCCCCCGAGCCAGGCGCTGGGGGCTCACACCTGTCATTCTAGCCACTGAGGTTCGCAATTCAAAGCCAGCCCGGGCAAGGAAAGTCCGTGAGACTCTTATCTCCAATAAACCACTAGAAAACCGGAAGTGGCACTATGGCTCAAGTGGTAGAGCGCTAGCCTTGAGCTGAAGAGCTGAGGGACAGCGCCCAGGCCCAGGGTTTTCAAGTCCCATAATCGACCAAAAAAAAAAAAAAAAAAAAAAGAGGGGCCCCGGGATGGGCAGTGGGGCCCGAGTACCCATCCCAGGCAAGGGGTCCTTTTCTTCTCTTTATGGTGTCTTCCCAAAGGAACTAAAGAGCTACAGGTCCAAAACACTAGCTTCTCCAAAGGGCTGTGCTAGGGCTCTGGTCTTCCCCGCAGCACAGGCAGAGGGCCCCCCCCCCATTCCCCCCGCCCCCCGTCCGGGATAAGAGGCCTGGGAGCTGGGGTCCCTGCCATCCCAGCCTCCTGGGCTGGGAGCACAGGCCTTCCCCCAGGGGTGGGCACGCTTCTCAGCCTAGCCCCCATCCATCCGTCCACAAGCCTGGCCTGCTTAGGGTCCATTCATCTGCCTGACGATGGCTCAGCCCCAGGCACTGGCTCTGGCAGCTTTGTCTCTACTCACTGGTCTCTGGGACCACC